ACAACCTGGGCAATCCCGAGACCTTCGAGCTGACGCACGGAATCCCGCTGGAGCCACTCCAGCCTGCCAGGCCCGAAGAACACCCCGTTGTTTTTGCATGCGGCGACGACGGAGGCACTTGGGGGCCAACCAGCTACACAGATGCATCGGGACTACATAATTCACATCCGACTTCATGCCGCGTGGGTTAGTCGGTGGCCCAGCTTAGCCCCACGACGGGCTGGCCCATCAGAGGTCGGAATGGTGGATTACCAGGAGTCGACCAGAGTGTGCCACGCGGAGAGAGATATGAAGGTTTGAACGCCCTGGAATACATGCAACGTCCAGGGTTGGTGGTGTCTGATAACAAGAGCTTCGTGGACGAGGCTACAAGATGGGATCCATATCTTTGAGAGAGCGTGATCCACCGCCGCTTTACTGTGGAAAATTGCCCACCTTTTCTTCCGGAGCCCGGGGATTTCCCCCCCCCCACCCCTCCCGAAAATCCCCCCCCCCCTGCTGGACCCCCCCCCCCTTCCCCCGGCAAAACCCCCCCCTCCCCTAACCCCTCCCCCCCCCCTCCCGAAAACCGAAGGGGGGTCACTACCGGTTCGAACCCCCCCACCCCCCCCCCCCCGGATCCGGAAAACCGGGGGGGGTCACTACCGGTTGGAACCCCCCCCCCCCCGAAAACCGGAGGGGGGTCACTGCCGGTTCGACCCCCCCCCCACGCACCGCCAGCAAACGACTCCCGGTCCCTACCACCGCTCGCATCACATCCCCCACTGTTGTTCCCAGCACCACTGTCCTCACCACCACTGTCCCCACTGGTTCCACCACCGTCCCTATTGTCCCCACCAGTGCCCCCACCACTGTCGCACTGTCCCCACTGTTCCCACCACTGTTCCCACCACGGTTCCACTCTCCCCACTGTCTCCACGGACCCAACCACTGCCCGACTATCCCCACTGTCCCCACTGTCCCACTGACTCCTCCGCTGTCCCACTGAGCTGTCCCACTGTTCCCACCACTGTCCCCACTGTCCCCACCACTGTCCCCACTGTACCTCTGTCCCATTGTCCCACCGCCGTCCTCGCCACCGCCTTCACCACTGTCCCCACCACCATTGTACCCTCCACTGTCCCACTGTTTCCACCTCATTCCCACTGTCCCCACACCACTGTCCCCACCACCACCGTCCCCACCACTGTCCACTGTCCCCCCTGTTCCCACCATTGTCCCCACCACTGTCCCCACCACTACCGTCCCCACCACTGTCCCACTGTCCCCACCACTGTCCCGCTGTCCCCTCACCACTGTCCCCACCAACACCGTCCCCACCACTGTCCGCACCCCCACTCGGTTTTCGAGGGGGGGGGGGGGTTCGAACCGGTAGTGACCCCCCCCCCTTTTCATGATGAACTGGGGGGGGGGGGAGGGGTTCGAACCGGTAGTGACCCCCCCCGGTTTTCCGGAGGGGGGGGGGGAGGGGTTCGAACCGGTAGTGACCCCCCCCGGTTTTCCGCCAGCAGCGGTAGAACACGCTCTTTCATATCTTTCGAGTTCCGCCAGCAAGCGCGCGGCGATCTGGAGAGAGATCTTTTCTTTATGCAAAGTTGATCTGGAACCGACACGTTTCGTATGGGTTCCTGCTCATAAGAATGTGATTGAGGCTGTGGGGTGTGGTGTATCGGCAGTCCATGTGATGGGCGGACTTGTTCGCCTATTGTGGTGCTAGTGGTATCCAGGTCGCGGATACGTTGGCGGAGAACCACAAGGGCCTGCTCAAGTTCGCGTCGACGACGGCGCGCTTCCTCGGCTTCATGGCTTCCCGCGCTGTCCGCATGTACAAGCAGGCTGGTGAGGTTCCGCAGGCGCCGAGGAAGCACCCTGGCCCCGTGATCGCCCCTGTTTTAATGACTCAACATGAATTTTATGAGTTTGGGCCAGGGGCCGTACGATGTAGGCACTGCAGCAAAGAATCAAGGACTCGAGAGTCCAATTTGAAACTTTTTGCCGCCCCGTGTTCGGGCCCGCCTGTTTTGGTCTCTGGCCATCGGCTGACAGCGAGGTTGCTCAAGGCAGACTGCCCTGGGCCCCCGTCCAATCGCTCAACGCTCGCGAACAGTCGTCTTCATGTGCGTAGAGTGAACGCTGGCCAGGACCCCAGAAGCGGGACAATCTTGCCACCAGAGGCCCCTGTCAATGCTCCTGCCAGTGCTGCAGACAGCGCGGCCCAGTCCAACCGTCATGAGGAAGCGTCCTTAGTGGGGGGTGGGACTGGGTCGGACGGGGGCGGGGGAGTGTAATCAGGCTCTGACTAATTTTTGCGCAGCTGCGTGTAGCAGCTGCACTTCTCTTGCCCAGGGCCCCCCCATCCGCGGGTATTGGTCCCTGGCTGAAGCCGACCGCCCCCTGTCGTTGGATGGGTCTTGGTGTGGTTGGGGCGGCACTTGTGTGCTCCGATCGGCCAGCTGGCTGATCTCTTCCGTGACCGACCTATGGGTTGATCTCTTCGTGTGGCCTCGGGGTCTCCTGAGGCCTTTCTTCAATTCAGCCCTCTTCCGTTCCTATGGGTTCGGTCGGGGCTGCCGTTCTGGATACCCTCCTCCTCTCTCCTCCTTCTCCTCCTCCTCCTCCTCCTCCCCCTCCTCCTCCCCCTCCTCCTTCCCCTCCTGCTCTGGATCCGAGGCTTCCATCGTGGATGTCGAAGCCGCTGCTCTGCTGCCTCCTCTGGACCCTCCGGGGGTTGAGGCCCGCCGTGGCCCCGCCGAGGGCACGGCCTTGTCCCGGATCTGGAATATGTAAGACCTTGAGGGGGAGGGGATAGGGCGCAGGAGGAGGAGGAGGAGGAGGAGGAGGAGGAGGAGGAGGAGGAGGAGGAGGAGGAGGAGGGGGAGGGGGAGGAGGAGGAGGAGGAGGAGGAGGAGGAGGAGGAGGAGGAGGAGAGGAGGGGAGGAGGAGGAGGAGGAGGAGGAGGAGGAGGAGGAGGAGGGGGAGGAGGAGGAGGAGGAGGGGGAGTAGAGTGAGGACCAGGATGCTCGGAAGCGACGATCTAGTCAACCCGCACAGCAAGGACGCACGGTACAGCCAGACCCAGGCCGGGCCAGGGTCCTGGACCTTGAGGGGGGGGGGTAGGGCGCAGGAGGAGGGAGAGGGGGAGGGGACCGGCTACGGCAGGTTCGCGTCGGGTCGACCCCGAGGCTGGTTCCTAACACCGCGGAGATCGTTCAGCCTTGAACGATCGGCCGTCATCGAAACGCCAGATCGTTCAACATCGACTGATTCTGGGTCGCAAGCTGCAGTCAACGTTGAACGCAGGCGACGGGGTCAAGCGAATCTACCGCAAGTGGCTCGCGCCACATCTGACATCTGATCCCTCTCTCCCATCCCGTTCCATGGCGCTGATTTCTGTTCTTTATCCGCGGGCGCGTGTCATGGCCGACCTGAAACTCCAACAAAAGCACCATCGTGTTATGCGCTATCGGAAAAGGGGAGCTGAGTACAGAGGAAGAGGAGGAGGGGAAGAGGAGGAGGAGGAGGAGGAGGAGGAGGAGGAGGAGGAGGAGGAGGAGGAGGAGGAGGAGGAGGAGGAGGAGGAGGAGGAGGAGGAGGAGGAGGAGGGGGGGGAGCAGGAGGGAAATGACGAGGATGAGGAAGGAGGAGGACGAGGACGAACAACAGCAGCAGGAACTGGAGTGGAAAGAGGCGGAGGAAGCAACATGAGTGGGGAGGCAACGATGAAAAGGACTTGCGCTAGGGCGAGAGCGCCCTTCTGAACGACAGGAGCAAGCCGCCGATCCGAAAATGAGGTCCACGCAGCTGCTGAAAGATCATTTTGACAGACCGAGAACAATCGGATTGTAACCGCAAATGCGGAACAACACTGCTTGAAATACTGTGGGAAAACAATTCGCGGAGAGGGCCGGACATCTCCCGGACAGAGTGAGAGGAAAGAGGGGAGTGACATTCATAATGTGTGATTGCGCAGGGCGGAGGCGGGAAGGAAGGTTCGAACACCGACAGGGAGGAGGGGTCGGTCGGTCGGTTGAGGAACACGATCAGCGCAGTCAGCTAAGCTCCGCCAGGGGGAGTTGGGGATTGCATCGAGGTCGTCCACGGCCCATGGACGGCGCCAGGACGCCGACTATCAAGAACAGCGATCGAGCCAGCGAGAGAACTCGACAAGAGGGGGGGCAAGGAGGAAGAGGAGGAGGAGGAGGAGGAGGAGGACCGTGAAGGAGAAGCAGCGAGGAGGAGGCAGCGGTGGAAGCGGAGGAGGGATCGAGGAGTACGGGGAGGGGGAGGGGATCCAGAAGGGATGGAGGACGGATCGAGGAGGAGGGGGGAGCTTAAGACGGAGGCGGAGGGGAGGCGGAGATGGGGGCGGCTGGGAGCGGCAGCCTGCGGGCACCTTCCCCTGCCATTCATGTCCTCCCCACTCCTCCCTCCTCCGCCCTCCTCCCTCCTCCCTCCATCCTTCACCCTCCTCCCTCCTCCCTCCTCCTCCCTCATCCCCGTCTCTCCTCCTCCCTCCTCCCCTCCTCCTTCTCCCTCCTCCCCGTCTCTCCTCCTCCCTCTGCCCTCTCCTGCCATTCCTCCTGTGCCCACCCACTCCTGTCCTGTGTTTTCTCTTCCGCCTGCTCCTCCTTGCCCTTGCCTGCAGCACTGTCCAAAGGCCAACTCTGGCCTGCAGACACTTGGTTTGCTTTCACTGGCTCTGCCCCCCGAAGCGAGTCAAATCAGTGTTCTCCCTGCCCTTGCCCCTGCCCCCCTGCTCGACGACGACGGAACGAAGGGGCTTGTCTGCCCACGGCGAGCCTCGGCCACGCGTTGGTCCTCCCGACCTATACCTACGGAACAGGCCGAAAGGCAGAGCCCCTCTACGACCCGAAGTGGTCTTTGCATCAGCGTGTTCACTGCACATCCTTTCCCTCCCTCCCTCGACCTCCCCGCAATGCCTTTCACTGCATACGCTCGTTTCTCGTCGCTTCGTCCGCCCCTGCCCCTCAAAGGTCGACTCCAAGTCGTTCCGCTTCTCGTCGGTCTCGATGATCTCTTTCATGTCCGCCTGAACCCAACGACGGAAACAATTGTTTGGCACATGGCCCGAAAACCAACCCGTGCAAACCAATATATCAACATGTACAGACACTTGAAACCCGCAAGCCCTTTAGGTGCACATGGATGGCTTAGGGTTCAAACTGTTCCCAATACGAAGAAGATGCCCGCGACCTCGCCACACGCCCTGCAATACCCTGCAACGCCCCCCCCAAGCGAAGACCCTGCAAAGACTTGTAATGTGTAACCGCGCTGTGCCCCCCCAAAAAATGTCCTCAACAAATTGGTTGTTTAACGGGCTGACGATATGATTGAGAAAACTTTTGCGACTCTTCCGCTTGACGCGTATCATCCTCCTTCTGTACCGGCTCCTCCCCCGACCCAATCTCAAATTCCAACGTCCACTTCCACTGCGACTTCAATTCGGGCTCACCACCCTCCTCCCGTCCACCCCCTCCTCATCCCTCCTGATCATCCCCAGATCAATGAACATGGAAGCGGGAAATCATACCGAATCGGAATGTGCGTCGGATTGGGCTGCAAAGGCACGGCGTCGAAATGATTGCGCCAAGATGCACACCATCGACATGCGAGCTCTGGGCCGCATCGGCTCGTCGAAATACCTGAATCGAGGCGGACTGAGATGGACACTGCCTTCCCTTCCTCCTCCCTCATCCCTCCCCTCTCCCTCCTCGCCCCTTGCCTCCTCCCTGCCTGCGCCTTCCCCCCTGCAGGCGCCACTGCTACCCCCCCCGTCCTCCGCTTCCCCCCCCCTTGCCCTGTGGGGGAATGCTCGGGGAGAAGCTGAAAAGGGAAAAACATCGAGCTTGAATCGGCGAAGCATCCCTGATAGATAGTAAACCCGCGCAACCTTGCGTTAGGGCGGGCTATCGGGCCTTCATCGGCGATGAATGCGCGATAAGGTTCCATGCGTCCCCGATTGACACTATCCCCCCCGACCGTTGCCCCTGACCCCCCCGCACCTCCCCACTGCCTCCCGAATGTCAGCACCCGTGCGCCTGCATGGCTGTCTCCTCGTCCATTTTCTTCTGGATCACCGCGTCGCTGAGCCCAGGCCGGCCCCCCACGGTCACCTCCAGGTCGGTGCGCTTCGTCCGCCTGGCGGGCAAAATTGCTAAAGAGGGTCACCACCCCATCCAAGACATCGACTAGAGAAACGGATGTAAGAGGTGCATATGACGGCAGACCCTTTCTGGTAGACGGACTGAAAACGGTAGAACGCGCGAGTAAAGCGGGCGCGGGCGCATTGCTGAGATGACGGCAGTCATCGGCCCAGAATGAAAAAAAACAAACTCCTGCCGCGTCCGCGGGCACGACGACGATGAGCGACGAGCGACGAGCGACGACGACGACTGCGGACCAGACCCCTATGCGGACGCCTATGCGGATCCCGATGCGCACGGCGGCAATGCCCAAAGCGCACTGGGGGGAGGCGTTACGTAAAAGGGGGGGGGCGGGGGCAAAACACGCCCATTACGCCCAGAGCAATAAAGAGATACGGTCCACTCGACACTGTGGGATGATGTTGTTCAAGAAGGTGGAGTGGAGCAGCTGTGCGACGATATTTGCAACAATGAATCATGCTCGACGAAAAATACGGCAGTTTGATTGGATGGGCTGATGCGCCAAATGGCGTTGGTATTCGGTCAGATATTGGAGACATTCAATCAGGAAGCGTTGGCACTCAATCTGATGTCGTTGGCACTCAGCTAAATTTTGTTTGCATTCAATCGGATCTAAGTGGCACTCCGTCAGAAATAGCTGGCACTCATTCAAGTATCCTTGGATCAGGCTCACCACGCCGGCCACCAATTCAGAAATCGGCACCTACACCTATGACATGTGAAACAAAGTTGATTATGTGGTGAAGCTCACTGCACCGAAAAGATGATAAACTGCACATTCAATTCGGCAGCTACTTATCTCAGGCATAGAATTGCACATCAAAGGACATATGTTTGTCATGATTGTATTTCATGCAGCATTAAGAAAGGCCGCCCACCTTCTCACAATGCAAGACACTCGAAGTAGACATGAAAGGTAAATACATCATCACAAATACATTGTTGATCGATGATCCTCAGAACGTATCGGAAAACGCGGCTGACTCAAACTAGATGGGCTGGAGAACACGTGTCCCTCGTGCGTCGCGGGAGCCCAATTCTGCCACAAACCGCGCAAATAACTGACGAAACTGACGGAACCGACGGAACGCTTACGTTACTAACGGGGAATTCCGTTACCAACGGAAACGTTACGTCGGTAATGGAAAGTTGCGTCGGCTTCTCTGAACGATTGAAAATACGAGGCTAGTTCTACGTCAACATCCACCCTTACTGACGGAAAGAGTTACGTCAGTAACGGAAAGCTACGTCGGTAATGTGCACCAGCTGTCGGCGGAGAGGGGCGAGGGGCAGGAGCGGGGAAGAGAAGGGAGGGGATTAAGGAGGCGGAGGAAATAAGAGGATAAGGACGGGAAGAGGAGCTGAGGGTCAATGTTTGAGTGAGGGCTAGAGGCGAGTCGCATCGAAAAGACGACCCCTGCGGGGCCCCGACGAGTCTCCGCAACACTTGCTTCTGCGCGCTGATGACTGTCAAGAGCTGCGAGTTAACGGCGGAAGTGAGGGAGGATAACACACATTGGACTAACACACGTTCGGAAGATCATCGATTTGAGCGGCCTCTCCAACCTGCCCCTCCCTCCCGGCCCACCCACTTCTTCTCGTGTTCCCCTGTTCTACCCCCTCTCTTCCCTTCTCCCCCCCCCCTCTCTTCTGGGAAAGGTATGTGCGTGTGTGTGTGTGTCTGTGTGTGTGCGCGGTTGGAGGGACGGGGGGGAGGGGGCTTGGCAGAGCGATCCGCTGCTGCTGTGATGGCGCGCCTGTAGGAGGAGGAGGCGGAGGAGGAGGAGGAGGAGGCGGCGAAGGATGGCGGGGGGGAAGAAAACGGCATTCATGCTAGCGCTCGGTTGCTCATTCTGCAACCCGTTGTGAACCGAGCACCTTGATGTTGTTGATAGGCATGTTTTCCACCGCCACCACCATAGTAAAAGGAGGAGGGGGTCCTCCTCCCCCTCTTCTTCCTCCTCCTCCTCCTCCTCCTCCTCCTCCTCCTCCTTATCCTTCACCTCCTTCCCCCCTCCAACTTATGGTGGTGGTGGTGGAAAACATGCCCATCAATTGTGGCGCATGTCCCGTGCAACGACGCCCGAGACGAACAACGGCGAATGTAGCCCCGCTCTTCGGTCCGCGCCCATATTCTCTGCCGCAATGGTGGCCATGGACCCGGCACCTCTCAGCTGACTGCGCGCACGAGAGGCCGCTTCTGTCTGCCACCAGTCGACGTGCGCAAGACGCAGAGGGGGAGGTGTGGATGTGGGCGGATCGGAGGAGGGTTTGAAGAGGCAAGTGGTGGAATAGAAAGCTTCATTGCGAGCGATTGGTGCTTCCCCTGCAACCTGGAGTGGACCGATCACCAAAGGTCGCAGTATATGCTCGAGCGCAGCGGCGCCCGAGACGCTGCAGGGTCGGCATCTCTCAGTTGATTTGAGTGTATGGGAGGCCGTTTCTTCTTGCCACCAGTCGTGGGGAGGAGGAGGCGGCGGAGGAAGGGAGGATGGAAGATGGAGGTTGTCTTGTCGTAGCGGCGCGTCGGCCGCAACAGACATCTCAGCTTAACTGCGTATGGGCGGCCGTTTCTTTCTGCCACTGGCCGTGGTGCCTGAGGCGTGGAGGGGGGTTCTGGGGGTGATGACGGCACTCATGGAGGTTGGGGAATGGGGAATAGACGGCATTCGCTGTGTGCGGTCGGTTGCTTCCTCCGCAACCCGTTGTGGACCGAGCGCCTTGACGTTGTGGTGCACTTTCTAGCGCAGAGGCGCCAGAGATAAGCATGTATGAGAGGCCGTTTCTTTCAGCCATCCGTATTGATTTCTGCAACGCGCCACGGACCGATCACCTTCATGTTGCAATGCATGTTCTGATGGCCGTCGGGAGCTATACTTAACAAGTTAATCGGCTACTGCACTTTTACCGACCACGTTCGGAGGAGGCTGGGAGGGCATAGGGTGGCGGTGGTTGGTAGAGGAGGAAGATGTGCGAGTCGACCGCTGAGAGCGTGTTGACCGCCAGAGCTATGCTCACCGAGTTTCTGAACAGCATCTTGATGAGCAAGTATAAATTTACAATATCTTCATCTGCCTCAGGCCAGCCAGTACTGTCTGAGCCAGCCTCCCACGGCAGAAAGCCGCGTGTTTCACATTGCGACTTGGGCCAGCCAGCCGATTTGGCCAGCCTTACACTGGGGAGGGTAGGCTTTCGAGGGAGGGATTGGAGTGGGAATAGGGGTGAAGGAGTAGGACAAGGACCTTTTTTACTGCCTTTGCGTTGCCTGTCTCTTTTTCATCGCAATGCACGCGTAGGTCGTCCTCTCCTCGTTCGGTATCCATCTTGTACGTGATTATGAAGGTACCCGTTTGTTGTCCTTCCTCACTCCACTATGCGGCCTGGCGGGCGCATACTTTATGGCCTCACGGCCCCTGTACCCTTTTCGCTGCTCTGCGCCTTTCCTTGTTTCTGCTGCGCATGCCAGGCTTGATTCGTTAGCTAGCTCTTTGCCGTACTCGACTTCCTTTTTTCCACACCTGGCACGCAACGATCTCCGATTCATGTCTGTGCAACGTCAAAAAGCAGGAGGACCAGGGCAAGGCGGAGGAGGGGAAATGAGCGGGGCGAAAACAACGAGGAAGGACTGGGATCCAGAATTGACGCTTGCGCTCGGGAGAGAGCGCCATTGTGAACGACGGAAGTAAAGCGTCGATCCGAAACTGAGGCCAACACTGCTCCGGGAACACATCTTAAAAACACCAAACCAATCCGATTGCAGAGCAACGTATGAAACAACCCTTCGACATCTTATACGCTGAATCACAGTCTGCGTGGGCAATTCGGTCACGTTCGGGCAGGATCCAGGGAGAGAGGAGAGTAGTACTCATATTGAGTAACTGTAGATGTAGATGGAGGAAGAGAAGGAGGAGGAGGAGGAGGAGGAGGAGGAGGAGAAGGAGATGGAGGAGGTGAAGGAGGGGGAAGGAGGGAGATGAGGGAGAGGGTGGGGGAGAGGAGGGGGAGAGGAGGGGGAGGAGGGGGAGAGGAGGAATGATGGGGGAGGAGGGGGAGTATGAGGAGGAAGAAGAGGAGATGGGAGGAAGGAGGGGGAGAAAGGTGACGAAATGGTCCTCCTCCTCCTCCTCCTTCGCCCGGCAGGCAGGGAGCCGCCTCTTCTTCTTCACGACCTCGACCCACTCGTACCTCTTCTCCGGTTCCTCGCGGCCGGACGCGGCCTCCAGGGGGGAACATCGACCTGGAATCAGCGATACATCGCCGATAAATCGGCGAGATGCTCCCGACAGCGAAACCGCACGTTCCTGGGCGGGGTGGGCTATCAAGCCCCTGTCAGCTCGAGGAGGGTCGGGTATCGAGGAGGATCGGACCTTGAATCTCGATCGAGCAATAATGAGATTGTTTGGAACGTCTTGTCGATCGAATATCGATGTTCGATCGAGCAAAATCGGACCTCGAACCTCGATCAAGGATCTTTCGAACAGGATTGAGCACGATTATCGATCGAGCATCGAGATTCGAGGAGGGTCGGGGATCGAAATTCGAGGGCGTTCTCCCCATCCCCCTTCTCCCCGCCCACCTCCGCGACTTCCCCCTTCTCCTCCTCCGGGTCCTCCTCCTCTTTTTCCTCCTCCTCCTTCTCCTCATCCTGCCTCCCTCTCCTCCTCGCATCCTCCCTCCTCCTACCTCCTCCCTCTCCAAAGGGCGCCGTCCTTTTTCCTCTTCTTCTTGGGCCTCTCCGGCTCGACGGCGTGCTGCGCGGGGGTCGGACCCGGGCCGGCGGAAGAGCGGCGCTCCGCTTTGAGGTGGCAGATTCTGGAGTACGACACGAGCGTGCGGGGAGGGATGCGGGAGGAGGTGGAGGGGTGAGGGATTCGGGGGATGAGGGAGGGATGAAGTGAGGGAGGACAGAAGGAGAAGGGAGGAGGATAGATGGAGGGAGGGATGAAGCGAGGGAGGGATGAAGTGAATGGACGAAGCGAGGGATGGGGGGGTGAAATGAGGAGGAGAGGAGGAGAAGGCAAGAGGATGGAGGGGGTATGTGGGGAAGGAAGGGAAGACTGCGCTTGCGCTGAAATACACAGGAACTTTACGAGAGGATCAGAGGGCGCTGACTGTACACCCGCGCAGACACTGGCCACTCCCAGGATCGGTGTACTTATACGTGCACAGTCCTGGCTTCTGCAGAGGGCATATGCACTGATCCTTGGCCCAGATCGATTTGGCCAGGATCGGTGCAGGTGTATGGTCGCCGCCATCAGAGAAAAGGTTTCGAAACAAATCGTTTCGAGAGCTTTCCGTCGGTGTCGAGTTCCGAAGGGTTTGTTCTTGGTCCCCCGGCCCGGACAACGCGCGGCCACGGAACGAGAGACTGGCCAGGCTTGGCCCTGGGAAGGGATTGGTTGGGGACTGGTGTGGAACGAACGATCGAACGACCACCTGCGCGGACAGGTGTCAGGGCCTGCCTGAGACCAAGTGAATGAGGCCATGGCCTCCAAAGGCTGCGGCATATGTGAACACGTGCGGGCGAAACGTAAAAAATGCACGAAGGGATGGTGATGAGGGGAGCTTTGAGGGAGGAGGAGGAGGAGGAGGATGAGGAGAATAACCATAATAACCGCCGTCCAGGAACCGCGCGTTCCCAGGCAAGGTATGGCCCCGAGGCCCCGATCGGTGAGAAACAGGCGACTGGCGATTGGGGACCGTTGTTTCCCCCCCTGTCCGCCGCCCCTCCCGCCCGCCCACCCGCTTCGCCCCGCCAGCCCTGGCCTCCCGCATTCACGTTCGCTGGCGTCTGACAGGGCTGAACCTAAACGGTGTTTTTCGATTTCGTTTTGTTTTCGTTTTCCCTCGTTTTGTCTTCAGTCCACCTCTTATCCCCCCTGTAGAGGGACAGGCCCGACTTACCCCTGGGCCTGTCCCGCCCTCGCGCTGCCCCCGGAGATGGACGGGGAGAGGGGGGGGGGCAGGCGAGGAGGGGAAGGAGCCCAGCAGCACCGGCGGGGATGCTCACTGCACCGGCCTTGCAGACGTGCTGCCACGGACTTTTGCATGGAAACCCCGAAACGGCGAGCGAAAAACGAAGCGAATTTCGCGTGGATGTTTGGGGGTCCTCATTCCTCGCCAAACAAAATCCGCACGAAATTCACCTCGAAATCCGGAGCGAAATTCTCCAGGACAACCCTGGCCCATCCCATCGTTTTCCGAACGACATGCGCTCTGCGATGTTGGCGCCATGAGAGTACATGTGCGTGGCTGTGTGCAAGCTCGTCGTGACTCGCCCACTGGGAATGAGCCGGATTCCGCGGACCTCAGCCGCCCTCGCCCCCAGGCGGCGAAACCCAGCCCAGGTGATTGGTGTAGAGTCTACGATATACACCGAAAATGGTCTACACTGTAGACCATTTTCGGTGTATACCGACACTCGTTGCTTACTGGATGGGGTCTATATACACCAATATGGCGTGGTTGGTGTGTGCACTTTTCGGTGTCTACGCATAATCGCGTCCTGAGTGAGTTTTCGGGTATACACCGATGTTGCCCCCAGAATGCCCTGGCATCGTCGGCGGGGGCGGGGCCGGCAGGGGCCCGCGGAATCGGCTGACCATCCCCCGAAGAAGGCTCAGTGTCAGGTGCAGCCTGCTGACCACTGCCTTCATGGCCGCGTGGCGCACCCTCTGTAAGGACCAGCGACGGGCCACGCTGGGAACCTGGAGGAGGACGGAAGGATGCTCTGGCCGGATCCATGCCCTCCTGCAGGGCTGCGGCTGGCAGGAACGTGCCGGGTGGGAGTGGAGGCGCCCAGTCACGGGCGTAATTCTCAGCATGCGCAAAGGCAGCGAGCATTGATCTGAATGCAAAGGACACCTCAAGCACGTGCTCCGGGAGGGCTGGCGCGCGAACCTTCCTGGGAGGTGGCGGGAGCAGAACCGCATCGATTCGTACCTGTGCCGGTTCGAGCAGTACGACGAGCGGCGTCTCAAGGCCGCGAGGCTTCTGGCAGAGGGCAGCACGCACGCGGCCAGCGTGATGTCCGGGGCAGTCGTCTCGCCAGCGCACCTGCAGGCGGCCAAGGGCAGAGAGGAGGGAGGAGGTGGAGGAGGACGACGACACGGACGTGCCGCAGTGGAGGAGCACTGCCCCGCTGTTGGAAGAGCGAGGCGTCCGACTTCGAGCACCTGGTCTGGTGCTGCCAAGCGGAGAACAAGCCCTTGGGCCGACCGCAGGATGCGCTGCAGCGGCGCCTCCTCTGGCCGACTGGCCTGAAACGCAGAAAGGAGGTGGATGCCGGCCTGCTTTGGCGGGCCGTCGCCATCAGACAGGCGATCCTGGAGGAGCGCCGCGGAAGGAAGCCGCCCGAGGGCGCTGGCACCACGCCCGAGGGAAGGCGCGGGCAGGAAGAGGAGGTAGAGGAGGTGAGGAGCCAGAGGTAGAGCAGGAAAGGGCTGAAGGATAGCAGGAAGAAGAGGTAGAGGCAGGAAAGATAATATTAGAAGGGAGTAGGACAGATAAGCAATTAAGGAAGTACATTTCCCATATGTGCACTGCCATTAAGTTGCTGTGTACATCATTCAAGCATGCGCCAGGACAGCGCCATGGCGGTTGCCACGTAGATTGCCAATAACACCATCCTGCGACACTCGGTTTTCAGGGCCCTCGGCGACCAGAAGAAATATTCATATAACGTCATATAACGTGTTGTGTTCCGAGTCCCTCCTGCCTGGTATCGTATCGGACCGATCGCATCGAAATGGCTGGCTTTGGGCAGCCCGGGGCCCCAACACATTGTCACCTCTCGAAAACAATATTCTTCTTCCACTTGCTTTCGCTGGCGGACCAGCTTGCGTTTTCTTGTCGCCGCCTTCCGCCGACGTAGAGATACTAGCTTCCAGAGTTCCCGAAAACGGAGCATCTTCTGGAGCGCCCCCGAATGGGCCCTGGAGGGCGAAAGGGGGGAAACGAGGAAGGGGAGGCAGCCAGCAGCGGCGGCGGCGGGGCGGCTGCGGTGCCCCGTTCTTGGATTTCTCCTCGGCGTCGCCCTTCTGCTCCTCGCGGGCGCGGGCACATCAGTGTCAAACTCACCCTCGTCGTCGTTGTCGTCGTCGTCGCCGTCCTCGTCGTCCTCCGTAGCCATTTTGGCTCAAAATGTTTCCGTCCCGTGGCAGAGCGCGGAGACCCTTGGTCTAGCATAATCAAACTTTTCCTCCGCCAGGGCATCCGGGCGGGCACCCGGGCACCCGGGCGCCCGGGCACCCGGGCACCTGGGCGCCCGGGCACCCGGGCACCCGGGCACGGTTGCCGGGCATCCGGGCACCCGGGCATCTGGGCACCCGGGCAACCAGGGACCCGGGCACCCGGGCACCAGGGCATCCGGGCAT